GTTATTTTTTCAAAACTATTATTGAAAATCAACTTATTTAAAAAGTATGATTAAAAGTTATTATAGTGTATTTTTACAAGAAAATTACCAAAACTGGTTTCATAAATCATGGGCGTATCAAGGGGAGGGTCAACCTAGGCCCTGATCCACCCCAAATTTAAAAAATGTCTCAATATTTAAGAAAAAAATTTGTGTAATTATTTTTTCAAAAATATTCTTTGTATTGATATAGTCCGGCCCTGTCATTAATGCAGAGTTTTCCTCAACAAATAATTGGTGTGAACACAAGCAAAAAATCATACTACGTACCAATCCAACAAATAAATTAAGCAAGCTTTTAAGAAACCACCAATTATTTGAACAAAACATTGAGCAAAATTACACTACCAACTTTGAGAATTTGTGACATTTGGTTTGTATAGAATCTAAGTCAAATGGGTTAATCTACTAAACCTAACAACATACGGAATATTATTGTAGAGTTTTCACCAATTTTAATCCTTTGACTATTTTGCCACTGACATTTTTGGTACTGGTTTTTTATTTTTTCGATTTTCCCCCGATTATTGTGCTAGAGAAATTTTTGGTACCCATCTTTTAAAATTCCATACTTAGTCCTTCAATTTTTATATAGTGACACTCTTGATCAGTTAATTATTATAATAGTGACTTTTTAGTCTTTCAGTTATTGTGTCAAAATCATTATGGAAGGAGTAAAGCGTCAATTTGATATTACTCATGGAATTAAATGTGAAAAACTTTGAAATGACTTACTAAAAGTGTTACTAACACAATTGCCGAGGACAAAAGATGTAAAAATTAAAAATGAAGTATCAAAACTGTTACTAACATAATAGTTGGAAGAGTGAAAGTAACAAATACAATTGCATGCAAGGCAATGGCAAACACTCCAAAAACGGATTCATTTAATCACAACTTTAAAAATGGAGTAAAAGAAGGTATTGTGAGCAGGTTGAATTGACCTAGGAGCGGAACATGGGGAATTAATTTGTGAATTTGATATTAAAGGGCTGTTTTGACCTGCTTCTTAAATCTGTTTCTTACTCCTTTAAGAATAGAAGCAGATATTGCAGAATTTGGGTGAACGTGCAGAAGTGTTTTTGAGTGCTCCAAAATGTTCATAGCAGGTAAGGATGACCATTTTCGGGAAAACTGATTCTGATTCTACTTTTAAAAAGAAGTAGAAGCAGAATCAATTCCAAACACACCTCCTAAATTACATTTCCAAATTCACCTATATGACTGTTAGGCGTGCGGGTAAAAAAATTGTTAGCGTGGGAGTAACTCATGATCAGTATGCTACTCTCTCAATTCAAAAACACACGTGAATAGTACACGCGTGAACAATAATTTTGTCTTTTTATCCTAGTAGCAGAATGATGCAACTCACATGTAAATAAATGTAACTCACAATGATTTGGTATATTATTATTATTATTATTATTATTATTATTATTATTATTATTATTACTATTACTATATTATTATTGTTGTTGTTGTTGTTGTTATTGTTATTGTCATTGTTATTATTATTAGATATTGCGGTATCTTAAAGACATGTCTATACGTGGAACAATACTTGCGATATTTTGTTGGAAAAATTGATTACAATAATCTCAACTATTGACGGTCCGTTCATAATAATCCCAACTATCGATTATTGCAGAATAATCCCAACTTTAGAGACCTTCCGCCAATAATGGTCCAACCACTCCAACGTGACCGACTATAAATAAATTCCAATAGTTTCTAAAGAGATATAGCAATTAATGCCTATAAATAATCCCAAATTTAAATTTTTACGCTTATTTTCTATTAAAAAATCTAGGGGTGGGCGCGGTCCGGAACGGCCCGGTAAATTGGTAAAACTCGTAATGTATCTGTGAGGTTTTTAACGGTTCGGTACGGTCCGGTTCCAAGGATAGAACCGTTCGGTACCATGTCGTTTCGGAACGGTACAAAACGGTACGGTACAATGCCAAACACATGCTAAATTTTTTGAACAAATCTTGCAATTAGTAGATATCATCACACCAACCAACTCACATGAAATGTTGAAATAAATACAAGAAATTGCATACATAGTACTAAAATTCACAAATACACAAATAGTGCAACACAACTAAGAAAAAGTATAGCAAAACAATGACACACGAGATAAATATCATTTTTAATTTACTAAGTTCATGTGAAAATATAAAAATTAATATCATCAAATTGTTGAATATAATAGAAATCTTCAACATTCTTCTTCTTCGTTCTAGGTTAAATATTACTCTGTAGTTCTAATTTAATTTATAGTTGAACCTTGAGAGCTAAAATTTGAACCATATTAATTAAGTTGTAAAAATGCACAAACATGATACAACAAAAAGTTATGTACACTACATTACTAGAAATAAATAATCATTAACGATTTCTAAAATTTTAATATTCTTTCAATACATACCAACATGTAACATAAATTATCTAAAAAGAAAAACTAACTAACTAAATATATATATATATATATATATATATATATATTAGAGATAATGTGAGAAAACCATCTTAGGAGAGAAAAGAGAATGAATAATAGCCATTAGATCTTGAAGTTTTTTATTATTTAAGCTTTCTCTCGTTAAGGGCAAAACTGGGACTCTCACACCAAATTAAAGTTATCTGATTGTTTCCATAACTATCACAAATCTATCTCTTTCATTGAATTGATTCTTTTGTCCATAACTATCTCCTAGTATCTCACAAATTAAATCATCTGCATCGTTATTCATCTAAATCCATTCATGGGAACTTCCATCACGTTCACGGCCACTAACATATTATAGAATTATCCTTTAAGTTTTAAGTTTTATTTTTTTCAATATATTTTGCTTTAGTTTTTTATGCTCACATATGTCTTGGGTTTAGGTTTTGTGTTTCTCATTTTATTTATTTTTGTTATCTGTTTTTGGGAGCTCTTTATGTATAAGAAAAGATGCAGATCATGTTAATAAGAATTAATTTCATGTTTTTTAAAAAGTGCACAATGACTCATATGTAAGTACATAATATAATTGAGATTATTTTGATGCACTTATTATACTTCCTTCATGCACTTTTCCTTATTTTATTTTACCTTTTATAGATACAAGTGACATTAGCAGACAATGTCCATGCAGTTTGTAGAGAATAAGTGCATTCATATACAAATCATTCCCTATTTTACATTAAAAAATATTATGCATTTACAGCACTTTGTCAATGCACTTGTAATGCTTTGTTAATGCACTTGTTAGTTTTTTTTCACGTATAGGTGACATAGGAAGCTACCATAACAATGAAACAATTATGATGATTTTGAAATAAAAAGTGCATTTCATTTTGTAATAAGTGTCAATATAAAATGCAGAAAAAGTTATATACGTATATAATACTGCACTTTTGTATGTATTTAGAATGCACATGATAAAAGTGCATTTCATTTATAAAAGAGTGTCATGTAAAATTTTAATAAAAAGTGGGTATGAAAATGCACTTTTGTGTACAATTAAAATGCATGTGATAACTGATAGTTTATACTCTAATATATTTATATTCATTTTATTAAAAACACATATAGATGTGTAGAACTGCATAATATAGTGTACGTTAATGTAATATTGTGTCAATGAAATATTATTGAGAACATGCACTTATTCACCAAACGGTTTGCACTTATACATCTTTTACATTTAAACCTTAAAATGCATTCAGTAGTTTTTTTACTCATTCTCACTCTATATACTGCACCATACTTATGATCAACATTCTGTGTGTATCCACTTTAATAAAAAAATGCACTTTTTCATATCTGAACATTCTTAATTTTAAAATAAAATATCAGGAGCATTTAATACCAAATTCGTAGAGTACTAGAGTAATTAATTTGTTAAATAATAGGTAAGATCCAACATACACATAACGTAAAATATGGTTCGACATATGTGCCCCTGCGCTCAATTACTATTAGACTTTCCATTTGTGAATCAATTTAAATTGGCCAGTAATTGACCTAATAAATATCGGTCATCTTTTTTTGGGTCCATTGGATCAATCATATCAATGATTATAATTTATTCTCATTTCTCTCATAACACTCCATTCTCACAGGAACCATCCCCTATATATATATATATATGTATATATATATATATATGTTTGTGTGTGTGTGTATTAAAGATCAAATGAGAATAAGGCTTAACATGAGAACGTGAGAACACCACATTTACCCCGATGTGATGCACAATGAGGCTAGCCTAATGCACTTTTTCACGTTCTGCATAATATTTAGAGTATTTACCAAAATGCCACTGTTATTATTTATATTGGCGTGTTTGGAGCAAAGTCAAAATGTGCATCAGACGAGCTCTATTGTGTATCACATTGGGTTAAATGTGAGTGTTCTCACGTTCTCATGTTAAGCATCGTTCTCATTGGAACCGCACTATATATATATATATATATATATATATATATATATATATATATATATATATATATATATATATCACATTTTAGATATCTTATGGACACATGAATACATACTCGGGATATAAAATTATTGGTCTAGAACTATTGATATAGAAAAAATATAAAAAAATTCAAATGCATTATTTACGAACGGTTCGGTCCGGTATTTTTCGGTTCTCAAAATCTAGAACCGGTCCCGTACCCATTTCAAACGGTACGGTTTCAGTACGGGATAAAAATCTATAGAACCGTTTAAATACCCAGTAGGCCAGTATTCGGTTCGGTACCATTACGAGATGGGTCGGTACCAATTCGGTTCGGGTTTTATGCCCACCCCTAAAAAAAATAAGTTGTTAGAGCATGCAATAAGCAGTCATGGACCATTATTGACGGACGGTCCATATAATTGGAATTATACAAAAATAATCAATAGTTGAGATTATTGTTAGCGGACCGGCAATAGTTGGGAGTATTATTTTCAATTTTTCCTATTTTGTTTTATCAAGAGAGATGGACACTAGAAAAATTGGTGAAGTTTGAATACATTTTTAGAATAACACTACATAGGTTTTCCATGTTATGAAACCACACGTAACACGTTTTTGTTGAAGTTGTTAATCTTGGTGGCACAATTAACAATATGAAACTACACAATATGTGCACTATTTTTGCGATCAAATGAAGAAAAAAAGTTTTTGGAATATTATGCGAGTATTCCTTGCTCTGTATGTAAAAAGTTTTGGTGCAAATATCCTTGCTCTGTTGCGCTACCAAGTTTGAATGGGCGGGCCATTATAGCTTCCTGAGCGCATATACAGATAATCTGGGGTGTCAATTGGAGTAAGCCAAGCATATTCGTCTTCTATTCCATTCACAATAGCATCCTCTTCTTCTGCACGCGCCAAATAAAATTTATGAAATAAACACTCTTATTATGCTCCTTTACCACCTCTCTTTCAAGAAAAGTCACATATTTCTAATACCCCCTCTGTATCCCAAATTTTCCTTATTATGCTCCTTTACCACCTCTCTTTAAAAAAATGTCACATATTTCTAATACCCTCTCTATATCCCAAATTTCCCAATAATTGACAAAAAGTACATTTTTAAAATTTTGGTAAAGTACAACTATAACAAATTATTAATCTTACTTATTTTTTAAAATGAAGCAGTTGAATATGTTAACTTTAGTCAAAATCAAAATACGTAAATTTTAAAAATATTAGTGTATGACTCGTAAGATACAAAGTTTTGTTCCAACATGTTTTTTTGGAAAAAGATGCACCTTTACCTAACATGTTTTTTTGGAAAGGAGAGACTTTTTTTTTAATGGAATCGGCTTATATTGTATTGATCAAATCCCTGCAAGATACAAAGTTTTGTTCCAACACTCTAGACCTCTACCCCATGGATCAGACATAGAGTTAATCACCCCTACAGGAGCCATATAGCTTGCAGATCCTAAAACGGGCAACTGTAAGCCTTCAAAGATCGATCTTGCTACTCTGTCATCTACCTTATTCCTAAAACGCTCCCTCTCAAAATACCGCTCAGATTTGACATCGTTCAGACAGAAATAACTAAAACAACAAATAGAGTAAAGTCTTAACCTTAAAGAAAAGCAACAAATAAAATAAGTGACAACCAAAGAGCAATAGATCAAATATGTCAGGGGATAACTAAAAACAATATTTAAATACCACTATTTTTTGGGATATGGGGAGTAAGTAATGCTCTAGCTTTAGCATTCTTATGTCTAAATGGAAGCTAAGAAAACTCAGAGAGAAAATATGAGAAAAAGCACATACCAAAGCTAGAGTAAGGGTAATCACGGTAATAGGTACATAATCGTCCGGAAGCTTCGTTGTAAGGAGGGGCAAGAATATCAAGCACGGCACAAGGTGTGATTGCAGTGAAACAGTGCAGATTCCCTCCACTTTCAGGGTATAAAATTGATGGTTTGCAAGGTGCTGTCACAACTCTATCAACAGCCAACTTGGCTAATCTCACTGAAAAAGTAATAGGCATGATTAAAACAGTCACGCTCTTTAGATAATTTTGAAATTATTCCATGTTTACACACAATTTGCAACTTAGCTACCTCTTAAAGACCCGCATGTGGACACACTTTAATGTGCCCACACCAAATGTGTGAACAAAGCCAGATGCAGTCCATGTGGGTCCCATGTGAATATACTAGGGCCCACGAGACATCTTCATATATAAATATACCTTCCATACAAATTAAACAAAAAACCCAAAACTGAAGGCCTTTGTCAGTTCCGTTAACTTCAGCTATGTAAAAACAGATTTTCGCTACTTTTTTTCATTATAAGCACATTCAGCAAGCATATTAAAATTGGTCAGGGTTTGACAAAATATTTAAACGAAATTAAACAAAAAACCCAAAACTGAAGGCCTTTGTCAGTTCCGTTAACTTCAGCTATGTAAAAACAGCTTTTCGCTACTTTTTTTCATTATAAGCACATTCAGCAAGCATATTAAAATTGGTCAGGGTTTGACAAAATATTTAAACGAAAGTAAAAAAATTGCCTACCAAATGAGCTCAAAGATTAACAAGTTCTTTAACCACGAGAATGGGCTAGAAAGATAACCTGGATGTTGACCTGTTTGGTGAGTCTTGTAGATGCAAGCCGGATCAACCCAATCATAAGCTTTTACATGCAAGGACCCATAGAGAACTTTGCTCAAGACAGTCATTCTGGGGTGGTCGTGCAGAGGAATTACCGCAGATGTTGGGAAACAAAATATACACATCTGCATCACACACACAGTGGGCTTATTAGAAAAGGCAGCCCGGCAGCCCCCCCAAGGTGAGGGTCCACGGAAGGGTTCCACCACAAGAGTGTATAAAGGGGCAAGCCTTTCCCTATCAAATTTTAACAAGAGGCCGCTCCCAAGACTTGAGCCTGTGACATCTCGGTTACATAGCAATACCTTAACCGGTGCACCAAGGTCCTGAGCCCTCCTTCTGGGTCATCTCGGTCCTTGTGACATCTCGGTTACACAGTTAGGCTTACTATTAGCAAAACTTACTTCCCAGGAATTATCTATGCATCTCATATGATTGAAAAATCAAGAGATATGAGGGTCGGATATAGCATAAACGGGAACTTAGGGGGTATAATCCGAGCCGAGACTGAAAAATCAAACTTGAAACTCGGACCAATCTCAGTTAAACTGTAATTAGCAAAAATGAGCTCTGCCAACTATTTTAGCATGGCTTAATAAGCACGATTGCTGATTTTTTTTCATATTCAAAGAAATACCACCTTAACAATAAATTGAAAATTTTATTGTGTGTATACATAAAATTACATGTGTGTATAAGCATAACACATTTTGTTAAAAAATGTATAATAAGACACGATACATATAAATATATTATGGAAAAGATTGATACTCGTTTTGAATCGACTCATTACTCAAGGCCTTTGAGCTTGGGTGTGAAAGAATCTCAATTGAAATCAAGTTTCTCCGAAAAGATCTCAAATAGCTCAGGTTTGACTTGCTGACACCCCAACGGACCAAGCATATATAGGTGTGGGTTTCTAATGTGAAAAGTTAAGGGTGACATCAAATCCAGCAAGTAGGAGGCCTTCTAATGGATGACTAGGAAATGTAGAATACTTGGTACGATTTAAACACGAAAAACAAGTCCGGATGGAGTCCCGGCTAAATATACTTTATCTACTGGAAGAGGAGATAAAAGTGTAATTTATAGGTTATTAGCAACCAGTAGCATTGGCATCAACCAAGCATCAAACCATTAGGACAGATACATAGATGATGTGGCTATATTCATACTTATTCTGCATAACACTACAAGAGTACAAGGTCTGTGCTAAATAAGTTCCAACAAGTTAGTTAATATGGAACATGAATTTATGCTTACCTAGTGGTATTTACAAATATGCTATCAAATTCAGCACTCATATAGATAGCCATTCATGCATCCACAGCAGACGAAAGGAGATTTATAGACAGGACAAGATCTCTTACAGTAAAACTTTCTCCCGCATGGATATCTATGTATGTTATTGGTTGAGCCCATCGATCTACCCGGTTAGAAATATTAATTCCAAAAAGCCCGTGGCCTCTCTCTTCCTCTTGACCTGCATCTTTCAGCCCAACATCATCAACGCCAATTGCATCTGCAAAAACGTAAAAATTGTCATCAAAGCTCTGGAACCCTGTGTGAATAACTGAAACACATTGCAGTTGAATAAATGCATTTCAACTTAGAATAGTTGCTAATCCACAACAATTGCTATGTTCAAATTACTTTATTCTTCGGTTTTACTTAAATGTAAATGCTTAAAAACTCCAATATCCAAACAGCAGAATATCAAGGATAAAAATGGTCACCCTTAATCCCTATGTCCACTGTTCAGTCAAACCAAGAAGATTAAGAAGGGAACAGAAAAAGTAGCTTGCAAATAAAAGATTGTACGTAATTTGTCCACATCACGGATATCCAAACAGCACCCCACTACGCACATGTCTTCCAATGAAGAAAAACAAAAAAGAAGCCATAGATATGTGTGTATCACTATATCAGGGCCTACGAAGGTTTTTCTTCACCAAAGAAAAAATTGGAGCGCTCCAGAAAGACCGAGCATGTAGGCGCGGCCAAAGTGGAGCTGATGAGGGATTATTAGAGCAGCGCTATCGAAAGTAACCAGTATTTAGCGTCCAAACGAAGAATGTCGAACGGTATAAATAGCAATATATATGTAAATTACAGGTAATTACACGAGTATCACAAGATTCAAGGGTTTGAATCATCGAGATATATAATAATTAACTGGAGGCAATGAAGCATGTGGAATTTGTTTTTCTTGGAGGAAAAGGAAAAAAGGAGAAAAATGAAGTACCGAGCGAGGAAGATAACTTGAGGATGGATTCAGCAGATGGTTGGAGAGTTGTAGAGGGAGTGAATGTCTTCTTGCAGAGATCATACAGAGCTTGGATCGAAGAGCTCTTCGTGCTCATGCTTAGAAGCCGACGAATGCTTGGGACACACATTTTTAAGCCATCGCCTTTTGGATGTTACTTGAAAACCCGGTTGCTCACTTGCTTGGCCACTGAGGCTTGTCCTTCGGAGCGAGTACTAAATCCGGATTTATCTATGTATAGAGTGCCTCAATTGGAGATGCTATTTGCATGTGTTTATGGACTAAACCAGACTCAAGCGGGGAGAAATGGTGGAATATGTAAATCCCTATATCGTTGGCAACTACGGAGTACTTCGTATGGAAAAGTCCAATCATATTTGAGGTCATCTCCTTCCAATCATCTGGATTTGAGGTGATTCCAGATAGATTTTTGTGATGTTTTTTTAGCATATTCTTATATTCACAAAAGAATAATGCTAAGTGTAAACATTTTGGTATACACATCTTTGGTACATTCGTCTGTCTCACGCATACGGAATTGTTTGTCCAAGATAACTCTACAAAATTGTATGTGGACAGACAATTTTGTGTGAATGAGACAGACGAGTGTACGAAATGTGTACACCTTGCACCAAACGTTTTTTATTCACAAATTATACCCACAAAATTTTCAACTTAAAATTCGAAACTAGATCTCTCACATGGGAGAGTGAATCCACTTGGCCATATTATCTAAATCCTGTTTTTAGTGTCAAGGTATGAATTTGTTGACCCAATGACAAGATTGACAAATCTGAGAAAGATCAAAGGACAACAGCAAAGGTATATTGATCCATCTACATGTTGTGAGACCTCATTTTCCTAAAACGTCTTGGAGGTTTCACTAAACAATTTTGTGACATTCCACGAAATCAAAAGAATTTATGCATTAGATATGCTTCTTACATTTTCCATTCCCCTCTTAGTAACAAAGCATGCAAGCACTTTACCTGCCCTTTCCAAATATACACTTCTACATATAAGCACTAGTAAATCCAAATCACATTTTAGGTGTGACTGTGTACAGCTTCCATCATAGTCGAAATTCTACTCTACATATTCTCCTTGTGCTATAAGCAGGGACTTCCCTCTGTTTATTTCAAGCCAACTGGAGCCAGGCATTTTCTTAACATCCCTATTCTCCATCATTTGTCTCAAATTTCCCACATTATCCCAATGGTGCAACCCAGCAAATGTGTTTGACAGCAATACATAGGTTGTGGCGTCATTCTTGTTAATATTCAATGCTTTTCCCGCGGCTCGGTTGGCTGTTTCCATATCCCCATGAAGCACACATGCCCCGAGCAAGGTTTGCCAAACCAACAGACCTGGTTCAAATGGCATATCCAGAATCAATGCCTCAGCTTCCTTGATGCGTCCAGCACGGCCAAGGAGATTCACCATGCATGCATAATGATCTTCCACGGGGACAATACCATATTCGTTCCTCATTGAAGAGAATAAACTCCACCCTTCGTCAATAAGACCTCCTTGGCTGCAAGCATAAAGCACGCATATTAGGGTAATAATGTTAGGCTCCACCCTTTGCCTCTTCATTTCATGGAAGATCTCAAGAGCTTCTTTGGAACATCCGTTTTGGGCATACCCAGCTATCATGGACGTCCATGAAACAACAGTGCGCTCATTCATCAATTTAAAAACCACATAAGCACCACCCATGCACCCACATTTTGCATACATGTCAAGCAGTGCATTATCCACACAAACATCAATATCATCACCTAGTTTGATCCTAAGGCCATGGAGCTTCTGTCCCTCCTCCAAACAAGCTAAATTTGCACATGCGTTAAATGCAGTTGCAAGAGTAAATTTGTTAGGTTTCACACCAACCACTCTCATCCCGCCAACAACCTTAAGCGCCCAACTCGGCTCGTCGAAATTCAAAAGCCCTGCAGCCATTTGAGTCCAGGAGCGCACATCCTTTGAACAGATCTCCTCAAATGCTTTCAACCCTTCGCTCAACTTTTTAGTTTTGAGATACATATCCACCAAAGAGTTCCCAACACACACTTCACTCCCATGACCACACTTTATGAGCCAGGCATGAACCTGCACACCCATTTCAAGGTTAGAGAGCTCAGCCAATCCTGTAAGAACACTTGAAAAAGTGAACTTGTCAGGTTTCACACCATTTCTTAGCATCTTTAGCCAAAAGCTTGGTAACTCTGAACAGACACTCTGAACGTAACCATTGAGCATGGCATTCCAGGTCACAATATCTTTATGTATACAATTCTCGAACACCTCATGTGCTTCGTTCAATCTGCAGTGCCTTAACAAACCCGTCAATAGAGCATTCACCAAATAGATATTAGACTCATAACCAGACCTAACAATCATCCCATACACTTGACATAAATGCATCAAACTCAAACAATCCCCAAACGAACACGCATGCAGTACGCTAACAAATGTGAACTCATTCGGCTTAATTCCACTGCGATGCATCCTTAAAAACAGAGAAAATGCCTCGACAGGAAACCCCTTCTGCACAACTCCTGCGATGAGGGCAGTCCAAGACACGACGTTCTTTTCTGGCAACTCATCAAACAGTTTAAGCCCGCCCCTTATGTCCCCGCATTTGACATATGAGTTCAAAACATGGTTTCTGATGTATAGAGAGGAAGCAAGGCCGGGGTTCTTGAGAAGTTTAGCGTGGATTGCATTCGTGCCGCCTAAGTTCGAAGTCTGCACACAATTCCGGAGTGTGCGAGCATATGCCATTTCTTCTCCTTCCTGGACAGAATTCCATGAGGATGAGCTATTGTTGGCACTCTGGTTCAACAGAAATGATGAAGAAATGAAAGTGTGACTCCAATGAAATCTAGGAGAAAAGAAAACAATGTGTCGTTTTCTGAGTTTAGAATGAAGCATCTGCACATATCATGGAGCCACAATTATAATAATAATAATAATAATAATAATACAGATGAATAATGTGTTTGGAAATGCAAATGAGTAAAAGTACAAATCCAAAGATAGAGAAAATTCCCGAAATAGGAGTAAATTTTTTGTGGAATTTCAAAATAGTTTTTTTCCCTAAAAAAATACAAACACATTTCTTAGGCTACAATATTCATGGTATACAAAAAATATAACTTAGAAATTTGGTTCTTCATTAATATAAGATTTATGTAATTAAAGGCAAAATTGAAGCCAATAATCCATACTTTTACACATTTTCTTAAAAGTATTTCCTATTGAAAAAGTTCACACCAATAACAATGACTCGTTTTAATCGCTTCACAAATATGAACTAGAATCTAACAGTGTTAACTTTTCCATTAATTTATTTTTGGAAGTTGAATGTAGATTCAAACAAGTATTAACAATACAATATTTTATCTTAAACATATTCTGTTCATTTAATTAAATATTAACTATTTATCATAAAATATAATACTCATCATTTTATTTAATATTAAATATTTATCATAAAATATACTATCCTCCGTTCTTTAATTCTTGCAATAGTTTGACTTTCACGTTTGCCAACGCATAACTTTGACTGTAATTATATTTAATTATGTATTAGTAAACATTATAAAAAATTTGATATTTTGGAAATTCACATTGATAGGAATTTAATAACATTTTATACGTAATAATTTGATTATGTATATTAGTAGAAAATCATTGTCAAAGTAAGGTCTGTGAATAGTGCAAAAATCACAATGTTGCAAGAATTAAAGAACGGAGGAAGTAATACTCATCATTTTATTTAATATTAAATATTTATCATAAAATATAATACTCATCAGGTTCTCTTTTACTCTTTCATTTCCTATCCATATTTTAGTTGAACTGAATCGTTTTTCATTGTAATATAGATTTCATAGTAGTTTTGGTAATACTGTATTGAATAAGAAAACAAAGAATGTGATAATTATTTTTAATTTAGTAAAATGTTATAGTTTGATATCTCTTATAATTTGGAATAGACGGGATACTAGTTCATTATAAAAATTACTCTGGGTATTTTATGTTTATGTAAAACATTTTATGACCCTTTTTATATTCCAATAACGTTTAAAATTTAGACTTCAATAATCCCAAGTTTAAAAATTATGCGTAAATAATCTCAACTTGTAAGTAGTTTCGCAAAAGCGAGCAACATTACCAGAAAGTTAACACCATTAAGTGACGGTTTATTATTGTTTTAACAATTAACAAGTAGGGATTATTATCATGAACTTTTCAAGTACGGATTATTTTTGTAAAATGTGAAGAAGTAGGGATTACTGTTTTCAATTTCGCCTGTACTTAAATAAAGTATTAAAAAAGGGGGTTTTCCATAAATAATACTAAAAATGTATGAATAAAAATGTAACAAAAGTTAGTATGAAATATAAAAATGTTACTACTGTGTTAAATTGAATATGATAAGGGAAAATCCCAAAATAGGAGTAAAACGTTTAGGAATTCTAAAATAGGACTGTCATGTTTTTATTCGTTAAATAGGAGTAATTACTAATTACTACCAAACTTGGTAAATACTTTCATGTTTAAAGTCTCGTAATACCAAAACATGACAGTAATTACTCATATTTAGAAAATAAAAACATGATAGTCCTATTTTGAAACTCACAAACATTTGTACTCATATTTAGGGCAATTTCTTATATAACGATGGTTACTAAAGTTACTATAATAGTTGCCGGAGTATTGAAATTAAAAAGACACTCTTTATACACTACCTTCAATTTAGCCATATATTTGACTATTTCTCATGTGGATGTTCACCGATACTTGGTACAAATTAAACAAGAAAAAAGAGGTCTGGAAGAAATCCCGGCTAAATATACTGTCTACTAGAGGAGAAGATAAAATTGTAATTTACATAGGCTATATTAGCACACAGTAGCTTTGGCATCAACCAAGCATCCATTAGGACAGATACATAGATGATAAGGCTATATTCACACTTATTCCATACTTCCCTCTAACGTTACAAGAGTACAAGGTCTGTGCTAAATAAGCTCCAACAAGTTAGTTAATATGGAACAAAGAATTATGCTTACCTAGAGGCATTTACAAATATGCTATCAATTTCCGCAGTCATATAGATAGCTATTCATGCATCCACAGCAGAACAGGCAAAAGGAGATTTACAAACAGGACAAGGTCTCTTACAGTACAACTTTCTTCCGCGTGGACATCTATATATGTTATTGGTCAAGCCCATCGATCTACCTGGTTAGAAATATTAAGTCCAAAAAACCCATGGCCTCTCTCTTCCTCTTGACTTGCATCTTTCAGTTCAAGATTATCAACGTCAATTGCATCTGCAGAAACCGTAAAATTGTCATCAAAGCTCTTGAACCATATGTGAGTAACTGAAACACATTGCAGTTAAAAAATGCATTTCAACTTAGAATAGTTGCTAATCCAACACAATTGCTATGTATTAATTACTTTATTCTTTGGCTTTACTTAAATGTTCATGCTTAAAAGCCTTTTCAAAAGTGGCAAAATGGAATTAAGGAAGATATCATGTGATCCCTCAGTTCTCTTCTAATCTTCTTACTACTCTTGTTAGTTCACCTGAAAGTTATATCTTTCCCTTATGACAAGTGACTCGCAACTTTGTTGCATGAAGTATCAATCATATATCCCTGCAGTCTGGTGTTTTTTCCGAGGAGAACTTAAAAACTCGAGGGAAAAGTAAAACATCATCATCATCACCCCAATGCCGCAAAGGCTCCCACCCACAGTGGGTAAGAGGAGGTCGGATGTACTAAAGCACAGAGAGACCGTAAAACATAAAGAATAAAAATGTCACTCTTAATCCCTACGTCCACTGTTCAGTCAACCCAAGAAGATTAAGAAGGGAACAGAAAAGTAGCTTGCAAAAAAAGATTGCACCTTTCCAACCCCCTTTTAAAAGTTTGAAAAAAAATGTTTCTAGATAATTTGTTAACATCTCTTATATCCAAACAGCACCCCACTAACGCACATCTCTTCCAATGAAGAAAAAATAAGAAGCCATAGATATTTGTATATCAGGGGCCTAGGAAGGTTGTGCTTTGCCAAAAGAAGAAGAAATTGGAGCGCTCCAGAAAGATAGAGCATCTAGGCGCGGCCAAAGTAGAGCTGAGCAGGGATTATTAGAGCAGCGCGATCGAAAGTAACCAGTATTTAGTGTCCAATCGAAGAATGACGAACGGTATAAATAGCAACAATTATATAAATCACAAGCAATTACACGAGTATCACAAGATTCAAGGCTTTGAATCATCCGGATATATAATAATTGACTAGAGATAAGGAAGCATGTGGAGTTTGTTTTTCTTTGAGGAACAGGAGAAAAAAGTACCCAGTGAGGAAGAGAGCTTGATGTCAGGACCTTTTCTGGCCCAAAAATCTAGATTGTTAAGAGAACAAGTCCGTGACATTGAGATTTGAGGATGGATTCAGCAGATGGTTGGAGAGTTGCAGAGAGGATGAATGTCTTCTTGCAGAGATCGTACAGAGCTTGGATCGAAGAGTTCTTCGTGCGTTTAGAAACCGACGAATGCTTGGGACACACATTTTTAAGACAGCCTTTTGCGTGGGTGAAGGAATTTTCTGATGAAGAGATATCAAACTAAACCCTCCAATATGGTCCTAAATACTTTAACTTCAGCTACACCTACCAAATGTGTGCACCACACATTTTTCTATTTATTTTGGTTAGAGAAAACTGTCAAATTAATCTTCGTCTATATTCAAAAAGTCATTCAGACTCTCTTACTAAAAAATCATTTAGAGAATTCCCCAAATGAGACTAAAACATAGTGAATGTGCACAAATAAGACTTGTAGTTTATTTTCCCCTAAATAAGACTTTTAATTCACGATTGGACAATATTGCGCTTAATGAATTTAGCGCATGATCCGTAGACCTCTGACTACTCTGTTGCGATGCCCTGCAGGTGTGAATTCTCATCTTCTTCTTCAGCCAAGTCAGGTACGTAATCTTCTTCTTTTTCTTCTTCTTCATCTCTTTCTTCTTCTTCTTCTCCTTCTTTCTTCTTGGATTTGAATTTTATTTACTAATTTCAAATCTGAAAATATCAAAATCTCAAGTTTTGTACTTGCAGACCTCCAATGAGACTGTCAAGAATAATGACATGATGATGGAAGTTTCGTATAAAAACTAACATTCTCATTTATGTCATTCTCAGATAAGCCATAAAAATGCCATAAAATGTCATAACAATGACATTTTCTTATGGACATATGACATTTTCAGATTGTCATTTTGATATATATACTACCACAAGAGTGACAATTTTTTCAAATAACCAATAATTTTGACATTCTCAGATTATAAAAGTGTCATTTTTCTGAATAAATAAAATTCAAATCCAAAAAATTCAAATCAATAAATAGAATTTAAAAAGGTAGTAGATGAATAGAAAAAAACACAAAACAGAGTGCAGGAGGGGGAAGAAGTGCACCAGGGGAAGAAGAAGAAAGAAAGAATGAAAGAAAGAAAGAAGAAGAGAAGATGAGAAAAGAAGAGAAGATGGAGAAATTACCTGGGTGTCGCCGGAGAATCGAGCAAGCAGATGCCATAGAGAATCGAGCAAGCGGACGCCATATGTAATCCATGCCTTCTTTCTAGAGAGCTTTGGAGCCGTGGAAGACAAGAACGGAAGAGGAGACTACGAATTTAGGGATTTAATAGACTAGGGGTAGAATTGTAATAGGGAATCTTATTTAGGAAATATAAAACATTAAGTCCTATTGTGAAATTTTTAGCATGTTTTAATCCTATTTAGAACAATTTTTTAAAATCATTCAATCAAGCATTCCAACTATTAAAAAACATTCAAATCTTACTTTTATCCGGTAAACAACTGGTTACCCAGTTCTATTACATACGTGGCAATCTACTAGATTAATTTGACTTTTTTCTTTTTATTTATATTTTGCTTTTTGTTTTTCTTTGTTTCGTCCTTCTCTTTCCTCTTTCTTGATCCAGATCTGTTTGCTCCTGCCTTCCTCCGAAGGTCTCATGTTTCGTCCAGCCAAATCTTTTTGTTTCTTTGTTCTTCTTTTTCATTTTCCCCATTTTTTGTTCATTCTCTTTTATTTTATATACAGTATGTGTTATATATATATATATATATATATATACACACACAGGATGGACATAGATACAGATTCTGCTACACCCGCTTCTTCTTCTGCAACAACTTCCTGAACGAAACTCTCTAGGCTTCCGCAGATCTATTGGTCAAGTGTTTAAGCTTTTGAATCTTCTTCCTCATTAATAGGTCGGCGACATCAATTCTCACATATTTTGTTAAGCTTAAATTTTTACTTCATTTTATTTTATGAGCCAACATTGCTACTTTTTATAATTAATCCTTTGTGACGAGCTTGTAATTTACGAGTAATAAATACTCCGTACTTCTTAGTGTAGAAGGTCAAAAAAAGACACAAGTTAAAAAGAAAACAAAAAAAACGAGAAGCATATAAAATTAAAGATGTCGGAGTAAGGGTCAAAATACTGGACGAAGAAAGGGAGAACTGGGGAAGGGGAAATAAAAGGAAAAGAAAACCAGATGAAAATTTGACACGTGGGTTGCCACATGTGAATGTAACTTGTGTAACGGGTTGTTTACCGGTCAAAAGTGATGTTTGAATGTTTTTTTAAAAGTTGGAGTACTTCAAACGCTTTGAGGGCGATGTCAGAGATTCGAAATGGCTCGAGTATTTCTGCAGCAGGGTTGTAGCGGAAGATATACATGATATTTGCTCAAGGATTTATGATGTTTCCTTTGATCATGTGAGACGATCTGTGAACAGGATAGCTCATGAGCTTGCTCAAGTTGCGTGTTCTGAGTCTAATTGTCGTATTTGGTTATCTGTTCCACCTGATTTTATCATTCATGTACTTTACAATGATTTAGTTAATGAAAGTTAAGTGTTTCTCCTTCAAAAAAAATCGACAAAGATGTAATTATTTCAGTAAATGACAAGTTTCCTTAAACTAATTAGTAATGTAATTAAATTAATAAGAAATAAAAGCAATGGAGTTTTCAAAAAAATGGTTTCACATAGTCATATGAATTTGTTATTATAGGTAAAAAATTATTCACACGTTCAGTAACGAAACAAAATATGACTTCCAGATATAGTAGATATTCCTCCGTTGCTATTACTCGATCTTTATTTACATTTGGGAATAGATGACTAAGAACATTCAGCGTATTTTCATTTTATAATACTTCTTCCGTCTTAAATTGATTTGCAAATTCAACATTTTTTGTCAACTAATGTTAAAGTTAAACCCTTCCTATTAATAATTAAATCAATTTTAATAAATAAAATTTACATATTCAGAAACTATATTAAAACATCTATAAAGTTGCAAAATCCAAATTAGAATATAAATAAAACTTGATATTATAATTAAGTGAATAAAATGAAATTGTTTGACCAAAAAAATTGACAATGCAATCAATTTGAGACGGAAGTAGCTGGAGTACGGATTTTCATCGACGAGTCATACCACGGGTATGTGATGGTGATATTATTGCTTTTTCCATAGTTTGAGATAATTATGATTTAAAGATGATCAATCATATATATTCATCAAAATTGGATTTTATTTTTCTAAAAAATATCAATTAGATGTTTATTCTCTCTAATCAAAAATAGAAATTACCTATCACACTTTTATCGCCATATCAATGAAGATGTTGTGTATACAATAGAATATTGTGTATGCATATAGAAGTGAATTATGTAATAATATTAGTGTTTGATTTAAATTTGAGTACTCACTAATATGAGTTAGCTAATCTATTTAAGGTTATTTAGAAGAAATAAAGACCGGGATTTTACTCCTAGAGTTTTAATGGACAAATATATGACCATAATTAAAATTGGACAAAAAAGTGATTACTTAATAATAAATGAATTTAAATACACCCAATAAATCAAACCCTAAGTCGCAAAAGTAAATATGTACATAAATAGGGGTTTCCTTTTTCAGTGGCTGCTTACAATAAATGATGGAAGAGGTAATTAGTACTAGTATTTGATTATCAATGATATCTTAAAATAGTTGAAACTTTATAATAACTAAGTATTAAATAAAATAAAATAAAATAAAATAAACTGTTTGTGTGCTAAAAATTGGGGATGAAGTAGAAACTAAGGGAGCTCTTCAAATTAAAGACTTAAATGGACAACTAAAACGCCACTCCTAGAGACTTTTGTTGTTGATGAACTGATAAACTAAATGTAGGAAAACCAAGCTGAATTTCGACCAAAGCATGTAGGAAATCCTCCTAGAAACCTGCTCTAAAGTGCAAACAATTAAATAATAAACCAACTGAAAATTTACACATAAAACTGCTCTCACATTTCAACCCAATATCCTGATTATCTAGCTCTTCTTCTCTATGTGCTTTCTCTTCCTTTACCGTTCTTCCTAAATCCAGATGCAACGTCGGCGCCTCCAATATCACTCTATCACACAAGCAAGCTTGGCATAAAAGAACAAATAATGGCTTGTTCCTATAAAGAAAGAATAGTGGCTGGTCCCGTGATGAGTTTCTTCAAGGGTCTCCTTTGGCTTGCAATTAGGATTCTCTTGAAAGTGTTATTTCAGTGAATGAGTTCGGTTAAGTGGTCTCAATTGGAGATGCTCTTTGCACGTGTTTATGGACTAAACGAAACTCCAGCCGGGGGATATGGTGAAATGTGTAGATCCCTATTGTAGCTGAATTATACCCCTTTTTAGTAAAACACAACCTTGTTTAACACAGCCACATCCAGGCCAGCCTAAACTGGAGTCATAAGCAGATTGGATATCCAAGAGAGAAATTGGTAATTTCTAAACATCAGAAAATTTTGCTTCATCCTCTATTTGGTTTGTGACATTCAAACAGGTCTTTGGTGACTTCATTCGAAGTAGGGAGATTCCTGCTATCAGGTTCAATACCATTTCCATTGATGTCCATGTGATTTGGTGTAACATACTTCTCAATAGTAACAACCATACTGTCCACACCTGATCCGTCTTGAAGCTCGAAAACAGATTGAACAGCAAATTTAACACTTCCCATAGGTCTGCCCCCCCCCCCCCCCCCCCCCCACACACACACACACACAATAACAGCTCTGCAGTTATCATGAAGTGCAGTGGCAACAATTTCACTCTCACTTGCTGCATTTCTATTCACCAAAACAATAACAGGGGCAGTAATTCAAGGTGAAGATTCTGCAACAATACTCCGAGTGTACTGTGGGTCCCTTCCAACAGTGTAAGTTATCTGAGAAAAGCAATTAAATTTATATCAACCACATTTTAGATTATAGTAAATATAGCATTACAAAGTTTCTAGATTACAATATTTAAAAAATTATATACCACCTTACACATCGTAACTTCACAGAAAAATGATGCTCAACATTCTCGTGTTCCATTAATATCTAGTTCCCTGAATGGATCTTAAATGTTAAACGCCTACAGATTAAACAATACAAGTAAACACAAAAAGTAAATACTACGTAATATGCATTTATTTTTCTCAGAAAGTATATCGGTTTCCACCTTTAGTTTGCAAATAACAAACCCATATTCACTTTATGCGAAACCCGAGAGGGATTAAATTAAAAATAATAAAAATAATATTGATGTGTTGTCCCACCACTTCATTTAGTTTTCCTAAAAATTATATAATAATCAAGGAAAGAACAATCAAAACATGAGAATATCACTCAATATTGTGAAAATATAATGATATATAAGAGTATATTACCTCTATCCATATGTCTCATGACATAGTATCCACTCATAACCTCTCATTCAAGATTGAAAATAAATAAGTAAATGTACAATATTATATTAACACTCTCGTAACTAATTGAAATAGTTAACGGGATAGCACGGAGGTTGGCTTATGATTGAAAGCAGAGAAAATTGTTGTTTTCTTACAAATACAGGCATGTACTAAAAAGTAAACACTATCATATATAATGCAAATTTAAAGGCAAAGATGCATAATAGGCATAATGGTCACTCATAATTACACAAAAGATGTTATTAAATAAGAGCTATACTAGTCAAACACAGAGCACCACAACCATGTATAGCAAAGGTACAATATACACTAGTTTGCATCTGATTGCAATTCAAAAAGAAGCATTTTGCGGTTCAAACTCACTTCGGTAATTTTGGGAACAAACTTTAGATCTTTGGTAGCAGGAAGAAATAGAAGATTCAAAAATGGTCTCACCTTTTTGCCATATTGTTGAATATCTTCAATGCAGCATGCTCCACCGTAGAAACAGACCTGCACACAGCAGACATCCTCAACCTCTCTTAGGTGTCAGGGAGGAGGCAAGCCGAGATTTGTGAATCAATCAGAGAGAAAGGGATAATGTGTTAACATGTAAGAGCTATATCAATACACATTCAGGAACAATCACAAAAATGAAACCCTTTTGTCCTACTAACCCAATCACGCCTCTGAGTATATCGCAGTTGTGTCCAATGTATACTAATTTCAATAAAACCAGGCCAGCGTTAGTCCCTCTTTGTGCAGAAGAATATTTTTTGCTATAAGAATACCATGGTATCCACTCCAATCTAATAATTAATTAGTCAAGACGGAAAGTGAACACTTTTAACTAATTGCTTTTTCTCTTACATGCTGACATGTTACTTATATGGTTATACACATCTTACACCTTGGATAGGATGCTATATAAAATTTTGCATATCTCCTCTGCTGCTCACTGTACAAATCAGATGGACAGTCTGCTTCGTAGGATTGTAGGATTGTCAACCACAAAGCTAAAAAGGATGAGCCTTTCAAAGAACCATCAACAAGCTAGCAAAGAGTGACTCGTAGCTTTTATGTCCATCAGTTCTTAAAAAACATTATTAAATTCATATTTCAGTATTAATAGAAGTTATCAGCTTTAACGCAAACGATACCAACAAAGATCTGATAATTTCACCTGGACGAAAAGATGAATGCATATCAATATTATCAATCTCAGCAGCACTGACATCCTTTTTCCTGTTTAATTAAAGAGAGTAAAAGAAAGCTTAGAGTCCTTTTCAGAGAAAATGAAAAGGTTTGACATATCGGTAGACTTTTATACAGAATTTACTTGGAATGAAAATTCAAAACTTGAATGTGTTTTAAACTGAATATTGCTCTTAACATCAAGTTAGTATTTCCACATAAACCTCTGTCTACACCTCATAAATCTCACCATCCATTTTTCTATGGCCCCCACCTTCAAATCTCACCCTCCATAAATCCCACACAATGGCATGTGTTTTTATGGTCCAGATTATAACCCCAAAAATTATCCCATAAACCCATCCATGCCACATCGCCATTTATAAATCATAAACCACTCACAATGGTAAATAGTATTGGCGAGTATAGATTTGTTTTATGATCGGGATCAAAACCTCAACAAAGTGTGCATGACATCACCATTTTGGATGCCGTAAGAGTGATAAAAATACAAGTATACGACATAATAATTATAATACCATATAGAGCACGAAAAGGCGATGCTGAGGTTAGAGACTTTCTTTCATGGGATAAATTTTAATTTTTGCTATAATTTCCCTTTTTGGTAGGTTTTCCCTTTAAAAATACCTAATTACCCTCATTTTTTCTACTTTTTCATTTTCTCTTTCTTACTTTTCCACTGTCTCTCCTACTTTTTCTACACTATTCATTACCCCTACTATTCTTCCCTTGAATATTAGGCCAAACATTATTATAGCAAACAATAGAATACGGAGGAAGTATAAAGAATAAAGATACCAATATTAAAATCTCTTGAAGAAGTATCGGATAGACTTTCTTCATAATCTTCAGCATGGCATATCAATGTGCACCACAGCAACCTCACAAGTCACAACCATTTTCAAAGAATTTGATTTCATCACTTAATTTACCCAGGAACTCATATATCTGCATACATTCAGGGTGTGAATGGTCTTTTGCAATAAAAACATGCACCACATTATTGACTTCTATCCAACTCCTACCGGGAATTTTCTTGACTCCCTTCTCTCTCATCAACCTCTTTACACTAGCTATTTCATCCCAAAGCTTTAGTTTTCCAAACAAATCAGTGAGCAAAACATATATACAGTGTTCTCCAGGATCCAATTCCAATAAACAATGTGCTACCTCAGTGGCTAGTTCAATGTCACCACATGTTCGGCAAGCTCCAAGTAATGTTTTCAAAACCATTGAATCAGGTTGGAACGGCATCCCTCGAATAAGCTCCTTTGCCTTTTCAAGATGCCCGGCCCGCCCAAGTAAATCTACTGCACAAGCATAATGCTCCATTCTCGGTGGGATCCCATAATTGGATTCCATGGAGTTCAGAAAATTTTGACCTTCTTCCACCAAACCTATGTGGCTACATGCGGTCAGAACAGCAATGAAGGTCACATGATCTGGACTGACAATCCTATCTGTCATTGAAGAGAAAAGATCAAGTGCAACTTCACCCATTCCATGTTGCGCATATGCAAACATAATTGAGTTCCAAGTGATTGAACTTTCCTTTGGTGATTCCTCAAAGGTTTTCCGTGCATCCTCAATGTGTCCACACTTGGAATACATGAATATTAATCCACCAGTCACATATTCATATAAATAGACTCCTGTTTTTAGTGTCAAGGTATGAATTTCTTGACCCAATCGAAATATTGACAAATCTGAGCAAGACCGAAGGACAGCGGCAAAGGTATATTGATCCATCTCTATGTTGTGGGACCTCATTTCCTCAAAAATCTTGAAGGAGGTTTCACTAAAAGAATTTTGGGACATTCCTGTTAAAATTGTATTCCACGAAACAGAATCTTTCACACCCAAAAACTCAAAAACTTTCATTGCATCATCCATATAACTAGCATCGGATTTTAGATAAGTGGAAATTAATGCATTAGATACGCTTGTTACATTTTCCAATCCCCTCTTGATAACCAAAGCATGCAAGGACTTTACCTGCCTTTTTTTATTAATTTCACAACTGGCACTTATTATACTAGTAAAAGTATATATATCTGGCTCCATACCGAGCCTTCCCATATCCAAGAATAGTTTATATGCATCCATCCCTTTATCATATTCTATGTAAGCCGCTAACATTGAATTCCAAGTGATCAGATCTCTACATCTGTCGGCCCAATCAAACACCTTTTCAGCAGCCTGGATGCTTCCGCAGTTTGAGTATGCGCTAAGTAGAGCATTAGAAACTGTGTTTTCAAAATCCAATCCAATTTTTATAATTTTTGCATGAAACTGCATTGCAAGCTTGTATAAATCCTGATCATCTAGCAATGTCAAAAGAGGACAGAATGTTCCATCATCAATCTGCACACCCTCTCTCCCCATTCTTTCCATCAACTTAAAACAATTCATACAGTCACCAGTCTCCGCATATCCTGCTATTAAAGCATTCCACGAAACGGTGTTGCGTTCAGGCATATGAAGAAACACTTTACTAGCATCCTCCATTCTACCACATTTGGAATACATGTCTACCAGAGCACTCGCACAATAAACATTATCATCGTACCCTATCTTAATGACATCAGCATGCACCGGTAGCCCAAACGAAAGGTAAGCATTAGTGGCAACACCTTTGAGTATGCTCCCATAAGTGTAGCCGTCAAATAGAAGACCATGGTGCTTCATGGATTTCAAGAAATCCCAAGCACTCTGAAAATTCCCAGAGTTCACGTAGCCAGCAATCATGGTGTTCCAAGAAGCGGTGTCTCTATGGGGCATTTCATCGAACAGCTTGAGAGCAGCTCCTATATCTCGGCATCTTGTGTAGATGTTGATCAAGTTATTGGTCGTGTGGGTTTGCCCGATTTGAGCTGATTTGATTATTCGACAATGGGTGACTGCAGCTTTTGATACAGAGGCCATCGAGGTTTCAGTTGGCAAATTCCCGCAGTAAAGTGTCCACTACCAAACGTTTAAATAACGCCATGGGGTCCATGTGGGTCCCAAGCGAATTTACTTTGACAAGTTGGAGAAAATCTATAATCTATAATAATTTATATTATGGGGTGTTTGGATTTGATTGTGATTTTGTTTCTTTTTTAAAGCAGAAGCAAAATAGGAATCATTTTTCAGAAGTCGTTTACCCCCAGTTTCTAAAAAAAATTATTCTATGAGTAAATTAGAGCACCAGAATCACTTCTTCACTTTTACCTAAACACTCCAACTTCTGCCTCTGCTCCCTGAAGGAGGAGAAGCAGTTTTAAGAATCAAATCCAAACACCCCATATTTCCGTTCCAAATTATTTTGCAAAATCAACATTTTTTTGTCAATCGATGTTAAAGTTAAAGTTTTTTTTTGGGATTACGGCTTGGTTAGTTGAATGTTCTTGTTGTTGTAATGTCAAAGTTAAATTCTTCGTATTGATGAATAATTGAATTTTAATAATTAAATTTTACATATTTAGAATTTACATTAAAATATCTAGTGTTCTAAAATCAAAATAAAATTTTAATTAAAAATTAATATTCTAATTAAGCGAATAAAATTTGTATGCTTGACCCAAAAAAAACAAAATTGCAAATCAATTTGGGACGGAGGGAGTATATATATGGGAAATTTACTATTAACACCCTGAGGTTATGTCATAATTATTAATGCAACCTTGCATTTTAAAAAATCAATTTTTTACTCCCTGAGTTTGGATCATTCTCGTTCTTTGCCCCTCACTTTAATATTTGTTAAATTTAAATTTAATATAATTCTTAAATTCAATGAAAAATGTCTATAAAATTAAATTTTAATGTAAACCACAAATTAGTATCATAATTATAAGTCATTGTCGTTGATCGTAGTTAATAAAAAATTTAAATAAATTAAAATCTACGATATTTTAGGTCTTAGATTAATAGCTCTCAATTATCTAGATCATGGAATAATTGGAATAATCTTCACACATTTTGTCTAAAGGTCTCTTATTGATACTAAAGTAATCTTAGTATTTCTTCTTTGCTACACACAAAAAAAAATGTCATTGCGATTAATTCAACCAAATGAATTACAAATAAGACTTGTATATTAATAATGAAGAGGTGTCTAGAATTTTGATAACACATTTTATAAACATTTTTTTTATATATTCCATGAATATGACTCGTGAGTCTTCTCCTTAACTATTATCATTGATTGTTACTCCATGATCGAGTAGTTGAGTTGAAAACAAATGATCATCAACAATGACTTATAATTATGATGATAAATTGTTTTATATTTTAAAAATTAATTTTAAATACAACTTTCATTGAATTTAAGAGGTATATTAAATTTAATTTAACAAATATTAACGTGAGGGGTATATAGTGAGAATGATTAAAACTTAGGGGGTAACTAATTAATTTTTGAAAATACAAGGTTGCATTAATAATTATGATATGACCTCAATGGCCTAATAATAATTTTCCCTATATGTACATATATATGGTGAGGACAAATCATATCAGGCCACCTGACGGGAACCAGCGTCAGACCGAGGCCTTTTGGGGTCTTTGTCGTTGGAATTTTTTGATGAATTTTTTCGAGCATGTTCATCTTCATTTCTAGTTTACGCATACCAAACTTTAGCTAAAAATTCAATCGGAAAGGAAGTCAAATAAATTCTTTACAAAAAACTGTGCTTTATATATATAAAGCACAATTTTTTGTAAAGAATTTATTTGACTGCCTACTCGGTTGTTTTTTTATTTCCTAATTGTGGACAGTGGCGGACCCAGAAAATCGGAGACACGGGGTCCCTATCTTAATGTAACTCTAACCAATAAAAAATTAAAAAAATGTAAGTATATAATATTAAAGTAGCATAACATTTCATAGTTAATGTACATCATCAAAATATTAATAAGTTTTATCAATCTAGAACCTTAAAGATAGATAAATTATAAATTCGGTACCCGAAAGATGAAATGTATTAATATAGGACCCGAAAGATGAAAATTATCAATCTAGGATCTAAGATTTCATAGATTTTGATTTATTTATTTTTTATTAGTTCATTTGCTAATTTTTGATAAACTTTTTTCCACAAAAGTTTATTAGTTTAATAAAACTAAATAATATTTAAACATTTCAACATAAAAATAATAAAAATTCATGACAATATAGGTCCGAGATTGATAGTCTTCAATCATTCAAGTCCTAAATTGACAATTTTCATCATTTGAGTCTTATATCTATAAATTTCTTCTTTCAGGTCTCGGATTGATAATTCATCTACCTTCCAAGTTTTGAATTGATAAAATTCCAAATATTAAAGTAGTACAACGTTTCATAGTCCCTACTATGGCGCAACTCGTCTTGAATAGTAAGATGGCTTATTTCCAAATCAACAATTTTTTTTTCTCAAACCAGGATAAGCTTCTAAAGATTCAAAATAAACATGTTGATTATGTGTATTGTCAGCCATATTAATTTCATATTCACCGATTATTTTATTCAATTCTTCACTTAATAATGGAAAATCATAATAGAAATTTTAATAATTAATTGAATTATGTAAAGTGTAAAGTTGGGGATTTTTTAAAAAGGTGAAAGGATGTAGTTGTGATATTTTACAATAATAAACCCAAAAAAAAAAGAGGAATAGGAATGAGAGGGAATCGATTCTTGCACCTTCACAAAGGTTTTTAAAGTCTTTCCTCCATTGTTCTGCTCCGTTCTTTAAAACTCATACTTGTTTTTGTGTTATATATGTTGGGTGTGTTTCGGAAAAATAAAAAACTATTGATTAATAAAAATAATTAATTAATTAATAAAATAGCTAAAGAAAAATAGAAATAAGATGGAGCAGATTTTAGCCAGAGCTCGTGCTACGCACAATGTCCTTAAAACGTATTCGTCGCCTCCCACGGTGCTAGGAGCGTTGCAACGACCGTTTCCCAGGATACGGTGGCTAACGAACGATCGTTTGAGCACACAAACGAAAGTCCCGGCGAACTCGAACAATAACAGAACACTTGGGAAATTTTCAGAGAGCTGAAGGTGTTTTTGAGAGCTAAAATACATGTATGATTGCTTGTGAACGTGTGTTTGTTGCAAACCACCTGTGACACTCCAAAAATTTAAATAAAAAAAATTATTAGTTAGATAAAAAATACGGAAATGACTTTTTAATTATTAAGTAAGTCAAACAAAAAATCAACAGTTGTGACATTCTAACCAGATAAAAATATTTCCAAATAAATTTCATGATAAAAATTAAAATGAGATATTTACAAATGCTAAAAACTTAATAATAGGCTTTTATTATGATTGATTTTTTTGTAGTATATATACAAATAGTATAAGTATTACGTAGTATAGTATAATGTTATAATGTTATAGTATTACGTAGTAGTTATAAACGCACGCACCATGAACCGGGGCTCAATATAATTAGCTCCATTCATAGTCTCAAACGATCAAGAACTCCTTCGGTATTCTTTCTTTGGCCGGCAAAATCGCAAACTTCGTACGAGATAAAAACGATGCGAAAGAAGTTGTTCAGTTGAACACAAGCTCTAACGCAGCCTGTAACACTTGTTGAGATATTATACACGAAGAGCAAAAGATAAAAGAGGCAATTAAAAGCTCATATTTATTGATCTGATCACTAGGCTTTATATAGCTGTATTACACATAGATAATAACCAACAAGGTAAAATAACAAACTTCCTAAAATTAAGCTATGCTTCACGTTCGTAACTGCCCAACATAACAGCCTGCATTTTCTCCTAAATAATATGTAGTGTAACAAGACTTATTCAAACATTAACAATAAAACAATTAAGATAATTCTACGTGTGCATGCTCCCATACATCCCTGCATACTCAATTTGGATCAACTCTCAACACCACCCCTTGATCCAAGTTTTATCATCCCAATTCTCTGCATGAAATGATAGTGCTTCGAATGATTAAGAGCCTTTGTAAGTAAGTCTGCATTTTGCCAGTCAGTACCACAAAACTGAAGTGAAATGCTTCCCTTTGCCACAAGCTGCCTTATGAAGTGATGTTGGACATCTATGTGCTTAGTTCTGGAATGATAGGCTGGATTCTTTGCCATAGATATAGCTGACTTGTTGTCAACCCATAGTTCTATGCTTTCTGATTGAGTACACCCCAAATCTTTCATTACCTTGCTTATCCATAGAGCTTGTTTTGCAGCTGCTCCGGCTGCTACATACTTTCTGAAGAGGATAAGGCAATGGTTTCTTGCTTCTTTGAGCTCCAGGTTACTGCTCCAGATCCTAGATCAAAGACTGACCCTGACATGCTCTTCCTGTCATCCATACATCCGGCCCAGTCACTGTCAGAGTATCCCCTCACTTTAAAGTCTTTAACACTTGAATACCATAGCCCAAACTCCAATGTACCTGCTACATATTTCAAAATCCTTCTGGCAGCTCCAAAATGTTGTTTTGATGGCTTTTGCATATATCTTGACACAATACTAACACAGTAAGCCAGATCAGGCCTAGAGTGTGTTAAATAGTTGAGTCCTCCTACCATGCTTCTGTAAAGTGTAACATCTGCATCTCCAGTACCATCATACTTCTGAAGTTTCTCACTTGCATTCATGGGAGTAGGAACTGTTTCACAAGCCTCCATGTGAAACCTTTTAAGTAAGTTAGTAACATACCTTTTTTGACAAAGAAATGTACCCTCATTTCCTTGTTTAACTTCTAAACCAAGGAAGTACTGAAGTAGACCCAAATCAGTCATTTCAAACTGATTGGTCATTGATGCTTTGAAGGATGTTAGCATGCTTTGTGAAGAACTAAAGTAGATGATATCATCAACATAGAGGCAAACAATTAGGAAGTCAATACCTTCTCTCTTGAAATACAATGTAGGCTCATTCTCACTCTTCTGAAAGCCTGTTTGGACAAAAATTGAGTCAATCTTGCTATACCATGCTCTAGGGGCCTGTTTTAGCCCATAGAGTGCCTTTTTGAGCTTATACACCTTGCCTTCTTCCCCCTTCT